GCAGAACACACATTTGAGAGCAGCACAGGCATGAATGCTGAAGTTGCATCGGTATAAATCGGTTGTACCCTACCTTTTCGGATAGGTAGTAGTGCCAAGTCTGTCCATGAGCCAGATTCAGCTGGTGGGCCCAATCCAGCATGGGGTCGGCATGTCAGGGGCTTTATGCAGCATGCAGGGCAGGTGGGGATCCTTGCCCTGATCCGGCTGCACTGGGGGGCTGTACAGGTCCAATCCAGCCGCAGGGATGGGACTGGCCTGGGCCTGGTTGGCTGCATGGGGCTTGGTAATTTGGCAGTAGGGGAACCACTTCCTCACTGCCAAAATTTCCTATCTGTGCAGAGCCCCAACAGCTGGAAACCATGGCTCTGCAGGCTAGATTTGGCCCATGAGCCCGGGGTTGAGCACCCCTGATAGAAATTAAAAGGAGCTGTTGGCCAACTGTACTCTGTTTAGACTCCTTGATTCTGTTGCTCAGCCCCACCCCATACTCTGAAATAGCCCATACTGGTCAGTGTTACTTGTTGGGGAAAAAAAAAAAAATAATGTTTTTGTTTAGGTTTGTTTAAAAAGAAAATAATTGATTATTTGCAGAAGAGGCATGAAGTCCCACAAGTTAGGAAGCTGTATTACTATTGTTATTATTATTATTATTCCATGTTTTGACCACAAAAAGGAGTGCATGGTACTGTCCATAGCTTAGACTATTACGGATATGGATGCTATTTTATTCAGTAACATTTTACAGCTGTAAGTATTGACTTGTTGCTATTCCCTTTCATGAGTAAAAAGAGCATTAGGACAGGGTCCTTAGAATGTCGGATTCCCACCTCATTTTCCCCATCTGAGCTCTCAACAGATTTCTTACAACTTGAACATTTAAGGAGTTAAAATGGAAGATGAAAACGTGAAGGCTGGATCTAAAACTGCAATGAGGATCTTTTATTATAATATATTAGGAAATATCAGTAACTTTTTCTATTCATTAATATGTTCTTCCCCTCTTTGTTTTTCTGTCAAACTCCTTACTGAATTATACAATGTTTTACCATTTATGTCTGTTAGGTGATATTATGCCATTTGTTAACTGAAGGACTGGTTTGGTTTGCTGCCAAACTTTAAAAAATTGAAAGAAAATTTTTACTTTGAGTAGACCTGATATGAAAAGGTTTCAGTTTTCTTGCTGGAACAAAAGACATTGTTTTGAGTCAAATTAAATGTTTCATTTTCTGGGCTTTTTTTACATTTACACATAGTCACCAGTGGGGTTAGGAGGCAACTGAGCAGTAGCTTTGAAAATGTCACTGGTGCCAAAATGATGTAGTGAGGCACCTGAAAGGGTAAAAAAAAAAAAATACACATCTAAGTTGCAGATCTGGGCTCTGGACCCAAGTACCTAAGTCAGCTTTGAAATGTGGACTCTGGCTGCTACTACTTAGGTGTTTTTGAATATGTTGTCTTTAGACTACAATTGGAAAAGACCATTTCCATCAGCAATGACAAACAGCAAAGTGCTTTCACTTAAACTTGACCTTTTCCCCCCTAGAGTTTAACCAGTGTGATTAATCTTATTCTTAAATTGCTTTTTATTTTCACTGTCCTTTGCACTTCCAGATTCTGCTTGGGATAGAATAACAGAGGTAATAAAATATGTAATAAAAGGTTATTTCTTTGGCATTCTTGGGCAGGTCAGAGAATAACAGAAACAGAAAGCCTATTCTTGGGCAATTTCCAGGCAGTTTTGTAGACTCAAAAGATCTGAATAATTATGAAAATTATTTGAAATATGGAATGATTATCTGAGCTGAGCCAAACCTCTTACTTTGTTAATCCATTCCTATTGATAATTCTACTTTGATCAACCTCATTTCTTGATGCTGTTTTCCCGGCAAATATTCTGGGTTAGTTCATAATGGGCAGATCTCCATGTCCATTTTACTGCTCATTAGACTAATTTAATACACAGTAAAGTATCACTATCCACACATGCACCACTATTAGTGCTCAGATTTACTCCAGTGTACAATAGGCCTGTCAGACACAGGGACTGTTCTATGCTGCAGTAAATTACTGCGCATAAATACACATGTAGACAGTGATGTCGGGATTAGTTTACTCTGGTGCAAATTGAACTAGAGTATATTTAATTGTATTAATTGCATGTGTAGATGTGCCCAATATGAACCACCTACTTCATTCTCCATTGAGAACCTGTGACCTCTTCAGCAAAGCTAGAGAGTTTTAAAATGAAACAGCAGACCAATAAACCATTTACTTATACATTGTATGTATGAAACCTACCCCGATAGCTGCTAAAATTGGTGCTTGGTAAATCCATTTGATATCTCCAGCACTGAGCTCCCAGCATCTGTGATATCAAGAGAAACCTGGAGTTAAAAAAAAAGCTGACAAGAACAAATACTCAGTGTTGTTTGTCATTGGCCAGAAAGGATCATGCTCGTTTTGGGGGTTATGGAAAAGATTGTATCTCCCAATCAGGATTAGCCAAAAGATTGATAGTGAAATCTTTCATTATTAAGATACAAATAAAGATTCTGATAGTCTAAGGAAAGAGAAACAAAAGAGCTTTTTATTGGCACAAACTACTTGGCAGTTTCAGTAGTGCTGTCAAGAGCAAAAGACAGCATGTCTACACATGTATTCATGCACTTTAGTTAACTCACATTAAATCTAGTACCTCCATTGTGATGTACTAGGAAATTGTTCATTATCCTGTCTTAATGTGCATTAACTAAAGAATATGGGGAGTTTATAGACATGCTTTGGGAGAGGGGGGCACTTTTTAAAGCGTCTGAAGCAACACATGTATTAGTGTCCCCATGCTGAAAAATGGTGGCATGGGTACTTGAACTGTAGCTCATCAAATGAGTTTTAGTTTAAAGTGCCCTGCTGCTATTTTTCAGCACAAAGATGCTGACACATGACACTGGAGTTGTCTGAAGCATGGTAATTGCCATGTTCCAGCAGACTCGATTAATTGAGTCTGTTCCGACACGCTGTAATTACAGTGCATTGGAGCAGCCTCCCCGCATGTGTATAGGTGCCCACAGTTTTTAAGTGATGCTTAATTTACATTAGCCCTTTTAATGCACATCAACTAAAAAGCACAGGCCCTCACACATGTGAGGAGCCTGCTCCAACATGCTGGAAGGCCAGTGCGTTGGAGCAGGCCCGAGTAATCGAGTCTGCTGGAGCAGGTAAATTGACACGCTCTGGCAGCCTCATGCATCACGTATCGGTGTTGCAGTATGCCTCTGTGCTGAGAAAATGGCGGCAGCACACTTTGAACTAAATCATGTTCAATGTGCTTTAGTTCAAAGCGTGCCACCATTTTCTCAGCGCAGAGGTGCACTGCGCTGCTGATCCATGTATACCTGATGCGGTGTCGGGCACTTTCAATTAGTGCAGCTTGCTAATTAAAGCACCTGACATGTCAGAAGCACATGTAAAATGCCTTTTTTTTTAGTGACAGGGGTTTAGTGATGCTTTAATGCACATTAAAATAGGCTCTTGCACATTAAAGCACATGTGTAGACATGCCCACTGTGACTCAACTTTCCTCTCAATAGAAGTTGATCCCTCTGAGTCACCAAGAAGAAAATGAAGTAACGATACCATTAGTTGGATGCTTAATTGTTATGCATAATTTAGTAAATTATGCATATCAATTGCAAAATGTGTGTCCGTTAATTTACAGTAGGGAAGACAGTGAAATGCAAAGCCCCATTTACATGAGGTTTCATTTTGTACATACCTTGATCTGCCATGTGGTTATTTTATGGGCTAACTTCCTGCTG